AGAAAGAGCGGGCGGAGAACCAGGAGAACAAAGCCTTGGAGGAGGCCGAGAAAATGGAATTAGAAAGTAAAAAAAGCGGGAAACGAGTTGCCCAGCTCGGGGAACAAAGTAAACAATCGATTGCCCCGCTTATAGTGAAAGCCGCCGGTCCGGATGACCCCGATATCATAGCAGCTGCGGCAGCACATGGATTGACTGTAACGAGTGCCAGAGAACAAGCGGCCAACTTAGGTATTACTCTTCGTGAACTGTTAGGCCTTGATGAGGCGCCAGTGAAGGAGGTAGTAATTACATATGTGAAGAATGGGCCTCTCGTCGAGCCTGCGCAGGAACAGGATCTACCTCCACAAATGAAAGGTCTGCTGAAATGGTACAAGGGTTACATAAAAAATAAAAACGCCAAAGAATATATTTATGCGGAAGTTAGATATGAGCATCACTTCAAACATTACTATGTACAAATTCATCTGAGTGAATTGTTCCAGCTTTTCAATCTGCGCGAGCTCGACAAATCTATCATCAGTTGCTACGTTCTGTAAGTGATTTATTTTTACCCCATCTCGTTCATATTGCCTGCACTATATATATGTCCTAACTATATTGTTGTGTCCGCTATTATACATGCAGAATGAAGATTAAGGAATGCAGAGTAAGGAACATCCATAATGTTGGGTTCATTGACCCACACATCGTTAATGGATATGTGTTGGAGCATCACCCCGCCGACATGGAGGCAGACCTGTGGCAGTTTCTTACAAAGCAGGAACTCAAAAGTGATATTCTATTTCCTTACCATTTTGGGTGAGTGTTTCTGTCTTGAGCACATTCTCTTTTGTTTACTCCATGCATGGTATGTGGCCGGCTAATCGATGAGTTATGCATGACGTACTGTGCATGTATCGTGTCCGCAGGTTCCACTGGATTCTGCTAGTAATTAAAGTTGACACCTCAGAATGTCTCGTCCACGACTCTCTGAATAAGGATCCAAAGCTTTGGGTCGACATGAGAAGAATGCTGCAGAAGTAATTATTTTCATTCATTTGCGCTCTATATCGATCGGCCTATTTCGTTCATTTCCTAATATCAAGTAACTAATAACTCTCTTGTTCATTTAATTTTCTTTGCCTCGTAGGGTTTGGAGACGGTTCGTAGATACAAAGGTCGGTGAATTCAAAAAAGAGCTAGAATTCAAAAGGGCAAAGGCTAAGAATGGTGAGGATATTCAGCCAGCGGGGACCAATCTATGTGCATACTATGTCTGTGAGATGATCCGGAGATACACCTCTGAGCGGGTTCCGAGTGATACCAATGCTCAGAGGAATAACCTCCGGATGATGCTTAGTCCAGAAGCTCGCTTCCGACCACTTCAAGAGGAACTAGCTGGTGGTTCAGGAGGGAAGTCCTCCATCCTAAAGGAGAACGCCATTACGAGGACGTAGAACTTTATATGCATTAAATTATGTATGGAAACTTGTTCAAAATTGTATATGGTCATCCGATGATATTGAATATATATTGTATATTCCTCTTGAATTCTTTTTGGTTCTAATTTCAAATTTGTTTGAAATTGTACATTCATATGCATGTATGTAGTACCGTAGAATATGTGAAACTCCTTCAAAATTAAAATAAAGCACAAAAAAAATAAAACAATACATATTAAACAGAAAACAGGTTTAAGGGGGGGGGGGCTAAAACCCTAAACCTGCGGCGGCCTTTAGTCGCGGTTGGCCAGAAGAACCGCGACTAAAGGTCCTCCGCCCCGACGGTCACCTGGCGCCCACGTGGACGGGCCTTTAGTCGCGGTTCTTAAGCAACCGCGACTAAAGGGTGGGGCCTTTAGTCGCGCCCGTTCGGTCGCGGTTGCGCAACCGCGACTAATGGCAGTTGCGAACCGCGACCAAAGGCCCTTTTTCCACCAGTGGGGTAAGTTGTTAACCACGCTACAGATCGATAAAACCAATTACTAGTTTCAGAAAATATATTTAACATTATTTGTGCCAGTATGTTTCTGTTATAGCTTTGTTTACCACTTTGTTTAGTTTTTAGTTTTTAAAAAGTATATGTGCAGCCTTGCATTGTGTCTTCCAGAATATTATTACAGTCCTACGGAGTACTTATTAAATAAGAGATAGGGTATATCTGTTCGCATAAATGATCTTATTTCAGTTTAACTTCTTTTGTCAGATGCAATAAGCAGGATCTTATTTCAGTTTAGCTTCGTATTCATTCCAAATAATACGACATAGGTTCACATTCTTTGGATTGTGGGATATGGATTTTTCTTTTCTTCCAAATCCTCACCCTTCATCATCTCCATGTGTTCTTTTTTTTCCCTGTCAGAAAGCACAGGTTCAGAAACTAGTTCTTTTTAGCTAATAAGTATTGTTTTCTTGAGCAGAACTTCAACAGCGAAGAACTGAAGAAGGAATTCGACGACATTGACAACCTTACTGAAAAGAGACTAGAGGAGCTTCTGGATCTATTCCTGGAAGACTTCAATGCCAACTTGATAGAGGCACATGGGTGGCCGACCGGTGGCTCGTCGGCCTACAAAGTCGCCAAAGCTGCCCTGAATGCATACACGAGGATCCTTGCCAAGAGGTTCCCCGCGATGCGCATCAACTGTTTGACGCCTGGTTTTGTCAAGAGCGACATGTCCATGCACATGGGAGAGTTGACGCTCGAGGAGGGCGCTAGCAACCTGGTGAAGGTCGCTCTCTTGCCCGACGATGGCCCGAATGGTGCTTATTTTGATAGGGATGGCGTGGCGTCGTTTGTGTGATTGTTTCGTACGTGTAATGGTTTCGTCCGGTTTTACTTTCAAAATATCAACGTCGTTTGTGTAACAGTAGTTGTCAATAAACAGTGTGCAGTTTAACCTGTGCTGTGCACTCAAATGGACATGCGTGTGTGTATCATCCATATTGGTCGATGAGGTCTATCGATCTTGTGGGTATGTGTAGGGTCAAACAATGCGACAACACACACGTATGACGTATGGGTGTTGCTGGCTGATGGACATGCTTGGTTTGTTAACAAAATTTGCTAACCATCGGTTTTATTTTCGAATAGCTAACCATCATTGTCCGGCTCTTCTGTAAGGTTTTGCATGGAGGACTCCGGGTTGCCCGCTCCCCCGCGACCCCTACTAGGGTTCCCTCCCTTGCCGCCGCCGGCCCGCCCTGTTCCCCCCTCCCCCTCTCTTCCCCTCCCCTCCCCTCCCGTGGCACGCCCGGGGGGATCTCCTGCCGTCGCGTCCCTCGCCCCACGTCCTTTCTCCTCCCACAACCGTCGCCGGCGAGCTCCGTCGGGCATAGCCTGATGGGCACGGCGGCGGCGGGGCCCTTTTTCCCCCTCCGCTTGTGGGCGTCGGCACGGGGCGACCCCTTCGAGTGGCGGCGTTGGACGTCCGCGGGGTCCAGTGGCACGGCGGCGGTCTCACGGGGTGGCCTGCTGGTGGCGGCGCTCCGGCTCCCTTCGTTCTGCTCGCGGCGGGGTGACTGCGATGCTCCCATCTTGAGAGGTGGCGCGTGACCGGTCTCTTGCCGGATCCGGCAGGATCTAGCGTTGGGGGCCGGCCGGCGGCGCGTGGCTCCGGTGGTGCGTGCCCGACGGCTCCGGCGCTTGGAGCTCGACGGAAGACGCGGGTAGGGCAGCGGCGGGGCGTGGCCGCTGCTCCGACCGTGGGCGGCGGCGTGGGAAGGTCTCGGTGGTAGCCTGCTAGTGTCGTGGCGGCTTCACGGTGGCTCGAAGGATCTGTCTGCGGCAGCGGCCGGCTTCTCCGACGTTGGCTCGTTTGCGGTCGAGCCGTCTCGACCTTCACCCCATCTCCTCGTCGCCCCGGCGCTACTCCCATCAATGGGCTGGTCCTCTCCCAGTTGCGGTCCATCGCTCGTGTCACGCCCCGGTGCTGCAGGACCGAGCTCGTCCCGCGCCGATGCAGCAGGACCGAGCTCGTCTCGCGCATGGTGCAGCAGGGCTGACCTCGTCCCCCTCTCGATGCTGCAGGACCGAGCTCGCCTTGTGCTCGGGGCAGCAGGACGGGTCGGTGGATGCCAGTTTTGGCCGACCTATTGGGTCTCAACGTTGGGGGTAGCCCAGGGGTGCGAAAGGTGGGACCTTTCCGCTTGTCTCTTTCGTTGGGGTGCGACAGATCTCGGATGAGGTGGTGTCGAGGTCTTGGATACTGGGGCGGTGGCCCTGGTGGTGGTAGCGCGGTGCTCGTGGGCAGAGCCCGTGCCTTGGTGCTGCCCAGTCACCATGGCCGTGTGGGCGGCGTGGTTGCCGGGGTGTGGCGTTCGATGGCGGTGAGTGTTGGCCGAGGTGAAAACATGTTCTGTCTTCGGACGAACCGGCGACGGCGAAGATCGTTTCCTTCTTGAAGGTGTCGTCGCAGCTCTCATTGCCCGTCATGCGGCTTCGGGGGAAACTATGATCCTTGGATCGGGCGGTGGCGGCGCGCCGGTGTCGTTTCCTTTCTGAAGGCGCCGTCTTGAAGCGTATGGTTCGTTATATGTAGCTTCATCTCTGCGTGGTGATAGTGCTAGGGGTGATGTTGCTACGCTCAGCGTCTATGTATCTTCCCCTGAATATGTGCAGTGTGTTGCGCTGTTGTGGTGTGTGTTTGTACTGGGTGCTTGTTGATTGATACTTCATATATAAAACAGAGCGAAAAAGCCTTTTTTGATAATAGCTAACCATCGTTTTGATGTGTGAATGTTTCGAACTTGCCAAAAGTTGATCTTTTGAGAGGCTGCTAAATCATGCTGGATGTTTGTGCCGGACGAAGACGACGAGCACCACAAAGGCGACCGAGATACGGCCGGAGCCGTTATAAGTGTCTTGCTCTCCTTCCTCCCATAACCATAACCATAACCATCTTAGATCGTGAGGAGCGGCCCATCGATCTCTGTCATCGCACTTGTTGGAGCTCGTCGTGCGTGCAACCTCATGGAAGGAATCATCCCCAGCCAGCCAAACACGAGGTTAGCCTATGCATGCTTAGCTCAAACGTCTATGGAACTTGCAGCAATATTATCGACTGCGGTTGCTATAGGGTCGCCGTGGTCACCGGAGGGAACAAGGGGATCGGCTTCGAGGTGTGCCGGCAGCTGGCCAGCGGCGGCATCACCGTCGTCTTGACGGCCCAGGATGAGACGAGGGGCGGGGAGGCCGCGGAGAGGCTCAAAGCGCTGGGGCTCTCTGGTGTCGTCTTCCATCGTCTGGAGATCACGGACGCTTCGGGCGCCGCTACGCTAGCTGGTTTTCTCGAGGCCCGCTTTGGCAAGCTAGACATTCTGGCAAGTTTTTTCGTTTCATTTTCAGTTTATTACTACTACTGCTGCTGCATCCAAGGTTTGAAGCACCGGTGATGGATGAATGGATGGATGCACTCGGATGATTTGCAGGTGAATAACGCCGCGGTTTGTGGGGTTGAGTGCGGCCAAGAGTTCGATATCAACGAGGAAAAGGTGATATCACCCACCTTTTTTTGTCCTTTTCTGTTGTTGGGGTTTTTGTAATTTGTTACTGCTATATACTCCTGGAGGAACCCAGCCAAGAACCAAGGATAGGCGTCAAGCGCAGCGACCAATTTTACTTGATTAATTGGTTCATTCGTTAAAGTATAAAATCGGCGCGACTTTTTTCCGAAATTGTTCGGACACACCAGCCTGAACAAGTTTATTTGCCTATACATTATACAACAGTTCGCTGGCCTGGATTTCCACCAGAGAGTTGAGTGGATGTTGAAGAATGCCCGGGAGACCATCGACAGCGCAAAGAACACCGTGCAGACCAACTACTACGGCACGAAGCATGTTATCGAAGCCCTGCTGCCTCTGCTTCAAGCTTCGTCCGAGGGAAGAATAGTAAACGTCTCCTCCAATTATGGACTGCTAAGGGTAAGCAAGCTATTCTTTTTTCCCACTGATCATTCATTGCTAACCCAGTACAACATGTAAGGGATTCCTGTCAATTTTTGCAGCATATCGGCAACGAGGAGGTGAGGCAGGAGCTCAACGACGTCGACAACCTGACACAGGGGAGGCTGGACGAGCTGCTGGAGAAGTTCATCAAGGACTTCGAGGCCGGCGCGTTGGAGATGCACGGGTGGCCCACGAAGTTCTCGGCGTACAAGGTGGCCAAGGCCGCCATGAACGCCTACACGAGGATCCTGGCGAGGAGGCACCCTGAGCTGCGCGTCAACTGCGCGCACCCAGGCTTCGTCAAGACCGACATGAGCATGGGGTTCGGGGTCCTGACGCCGGAGGAGGGCGCACGCAACTTGGCCAAGGTGACGCTGCTGCCTGGCGGCGGGCCGACCGGCGCCTACTTCGCCCAGGGCGAGGAGGCGCCGTTCGTGTGAGATACCGGCGGTACGTGCGTGCGTGTTGCCCTGCTCGTGTGCTGCACACTGGGTTATTGGCTGGATGTGTTACCTTACGTGCTAGATTGAGATTGCGAATAAGATGTGTCATCTCACAAGAAACAGACTACCGAGAGGACGCTCTCAAAAAAAAAGACTACCCAAAAAACATGAGAGCGTCTCAAACCGTTTTCATCCTCGTAAAAATAATAATTTAAGAGAAATTAAGTAAAAAAGAAGTATGCTTCAGCAGTTTCTGTGAACGCATTAGTGGGAGCCTATTGGACCAGAAAGAAATTGAATGGACTAGCCCACTGGAACCCCACTTTACCCTATTAGCCCATCTAGATAGCTTGTGCAGGGAGCAGAGGGCGGCGCCGCAACGTACTTCTACCGCCGTCGCCGATCGATGGCAGCCGCCGCCGCTGCACGACTGCCTCTTCCTCCTCGCACCCCGCCTCTTCCGGCTCGCACGTATCCCCTCCCCTACCTCGCAGCTTCTCCCTGCTCCGCCTCACCGATGTTCCAATCAAGAATCGACGATCCCGTCGACTCGGCCGGACGCGATTAGCAGGTCAATGGCAGCCCCAACCCTGACACTTGCTTCGCGATCTGCTCTTGAAATTGAGGCATCCATAAGCATCTACCGATGTTTTCAGCTGCAAGCCTGCAAGTGCATTTGTTAAGTGGGATCCCACTTACTCCCACATAATCTATGCTAGTCTAGATGGAACTTCCACCATTTTCCACCAAACCGTGTTGGGACTAATGGATTAAGGTGGGATGCTCATGAACAGTCCCACCTATAGCCTGATTCTTCATACACACACCCCCGCCCCTTGAATTTCAGAGGGTGTGGGCCCTTAATCTGATTTATTTCGGTCAGATGATCCCAACTAAGCTTTCTCATTAAAGTTCGTAAATATGTGCCCCTGCGTGTGTTTTCTTGTCATTGCTTGACAGTTATAATACTTTTACACTATAAATGATACAGAAATGCACTATAACGAAAAAACTAGTTAAAAATTACGGTAGCAATGAATGGAGAGATAAAAGAAATATGTCGAGATAAAAGAAACTAGTTAAACCTCGAAGGAGTATTAAAAATTATGGCAGCAATGAATGAGAAGTAAAAAAAAAGTAATTCACGAATCGCATCCGCCAAGATCTAGAAAAAGAACAATGAATGGAGAGGAGGGAGAACAACAGATGCAAACCACTTGGAAGAGCACTCTAACTACTAGTGGGCTGACAACACTAACTGAACGCCTCAAGCAACGAGAGAAGGGGAGCTCTGAATGGAGATGTCCTCTTTCTCTCTCTCTCTCCAAATAATAGTTTGAACAGTCGCAGACGAAAGGGGAAAGAGGAAACAACTACAGAGTGAACATGTTATTTTCAATGTCAAGAGGGAAAACACGCAGCGACACGAGTTAATGGGAGACCATAAACACAAGAATGCGACCGAGAAACAAATAATGAGGGGACCATGCACGAATTGATGCGCATGGATCGAACGGACACAAAATCTGACTGAAAATAAATTGTTTTCAATCGGATGAAAATTAGCAAAGCTGAAAAAAATGCTTCAATAGTTTATGATGGGGAATGAAGCATGAAAATAAAAAAAAATCTACAAACACCCAAGATCTCATCTAGAAGATGTATAGCAACGAAAGGTGAGTGGTGTCTACATACCTTATAGACCAAAAGCATTAATGATCTAGAGATCGTGATTGGCGTAGTCATGCTCGCGTTGCGATCCAATTTGATCCAAGTACCACACGCGCAGTACCTCCAAGTTTAGCACACATACGGTTCGGCGGCATCCTCTCCTTCTTGATCCAGGAAGTGAGGGAGAGGAGGTAGATGATGTTGGGGAACGCAGTAATTTCAAAAAAATTCCTAGGCACACGTAAGATCATGGTGATGCATAGCAACAAGAAAGGAGAGTGTTGTCTACGTACCCTTGTAGACCGTAAGCGGAAGCGTTATGACAACGCGGTTGATGTAGTCTTACATCTTCACGATCGACCGATCCTAGTACCGAAAGTACGACACATTCGCGATCTGCACACGTTTAGCTCGGTGACGTCCCACGAACTCACGATCCAGCAGAGTATCGAGGGAGAGCTTCGTCAGCACGACGGCGTGATGACGGTGATGATGATGCTACCGGAACAGGGCTTCACCTAAGCACCGCTACGATATGACCGATGTGGATTATGGTGGAGGGGGCGTCGCACACGGCTGGAAACAATCAACTTGTGTGTCTATGGGGTGCCCCCTGGCCACGTATATAAAGGATGGAGGGAGGACGAGGCCGGCCCTCATAGGGCGCGCCCAAAGTGTGGAGTTCTAGCTACTAGGACTCCCTAGTCCTAGTAGAATTCCACCTCCCACATGGAATAGGAAAAAGGGAAGGGAGAAGGAGAAGGAAGGAAGGGGGCACCCCCTTTCCCTAGTCCAATTCGGACCAGTCCATGGGGAAGGGGCGCGGCCACCCTTGAGTCCTTTCTCTCATTTCCCGTATGGCCCATCAAGGCCCAATACGAATTCCCGTAACTCTCCGGTACTCCGAAAATACCCGAATCACTCAGAACCTTTCCGATGTCCGAATATAGCCTTCCAATATAATGATCTTTACATCTCGACCATTTTGAGACTCCTCGTCATGTCCCCGATCTCATCCAGGACTCCGAACAAACTTTGGTCATCAAATCATATAATTCATAATACAAATCGTTACAAAATGTTAAGCATGCGGACCCTACGGGTTCGAAAACTATGTAGACATGACCGAGACTCATCTCCAGTCAATAACCAATAGTGGAACCTTGATGTTCATATTGGCTCCCACATATTCTACGAAGATCTTTATCGGTCAAACCGCATAATGATATACGTTGTTCCCTTTGTCATCGGTATGTTACTTGCCCGAGATTCGATCGTCGGTATCTCAATACCTAGTTCAATCTCGTTACCAGCAAGTCTCTTTACTTGTTCTGTAATGCATCACCCCGTAACTAACTCATTAGTCACATTGCTTGCAAGGCTTATATTGATGTGCATTACCGAGAGGGCCCAGAGATACTCTCCGACAATTGGAGTGACAAATCCTAATCTTGATCTATGCCAACTCAACAAACACCGTCGGAGACACCTGTAGAGCATCTTTATAATCACCCAGTTATGTTGTGACGTTTGATAGCACACAAGGTGTTCCTCCGGTATTCGAGAGTTGCATAATTTCATAGTCTGAGGAACATGTAAAAGTCATGAAGAAAGCAGTAGCAATGAAACTATAACGATCATCGTGCTAAGCTAACAGATGGGTCAAGTCAATCACATCATTCTCTAATGATGTGATCCCGCTTATCAAATGACAACTATTTGTCCATGGCTAGAAAACTTAACCATATTTGATTAACGAGCTAGTCAAGTAGAGGCATACTAGTGACACTGTTTGTCTATATATTTACACATGTACTAAGTTTCCGGTTAATACAATTCTAGCATGAATAATAAACATTTATCATAATATAAGGAAATATAAATAACAACTTTATTATTGCCTCTAGGGCATATTTTCTTCAGTCTCCCACTTGCACTAGAGTCAATAATCTAGTTCACATCGTCATGTGATTTAATACGAATAGTTCACATCTTTATGTGATTAGTTCACATATCCATGTGACTAACACCCAAAGGGTTTACTAGAGTCGATAATCTAGCTCACATCGCTATGTGATTAACACCCAAAGAGTGATCATGCTTTGCTTGTGAGAAAAATTTAGTCAACGGGTCTGCCACATTCAGAGCAGTATGTATTTTACAAATTTTCTATGTCTACAATGCTTTGCACGGAGCTACTCTAGCTAATTGCTCCCACTTTTAATATGTATCTAGATCGAGACTTAGAGTCATCCAGATCGATGTTAAAGCTTGCATCGGCGTAACTCTTTATGATGAACTCTTTGTCACCTCCATAACCAAGAAACATTTCCTTACTCCACTAAGGATATTTTTTACCGCTGTCCAGTGATCCACTCCTAGATCACTATTGTACCCTCTTGCCAATCTTATTGTGAGGTACACAATAGGTCTGGTACACAGCATATCATATTTTATAAAATCTATGACTGAGGCATAGGGAATGACTTTTCATTCTCTTTCTATTTTCTGCCGTGATCGGGTTTTGAGTCTTTACTCAACTTCACACCTTGCAACACAGGCAAGAACTCCTTCTTTGACTATTCTATTTTGAACTACTTCAAAATATTGTCAAGGTATGTACTCACTGAAAATATATCAAGCGTCTTGATCTATCTCTATAAATCTTGATACTCAATATGTAAGTAGCTTCACCGAGGTCTTTTTTTGAAAAACTCCTTTCAAACACTCTTTTGTGCTTTCCAGAAAATTCTACATTATTTCCGGTCAACAATATGTCATTCACATATACTTATCAGAAATGCTATAGTGCTCCCACTCACTTTCTTGTAAATACAGACTTCACCGCAAGTCTGTATAAAACCATATGCTTTGATCACTTTATCAAAACATATACTCCAACTCCGAGATGCTTGCACCAGTCCATAGATGAATCGGCTGGAGCTTGCTCACTTTGTTAGCACCTTTAGGATCGACAAAACCTTCTGGTTGCATCATATATAACTCTTCTTTAAGAAATCCATTAAGGAATGCAGTTTTGACATCCATTTGCCAGATTTCATAAAATGCGGCAACTGTTAACATGATTCGGACAGATTTATAAGCATCGATACGAGTGAGAAAAATTCATCATAGTCAACACCTTGAACTTGTCGAAAACATTTTATGACAATTCGAGCTTTGTAGACAGTAACATGATACGTCCATTTTGCATCATGCTTTTATATCGATATTTATTGCATTATGGGCTGTTATTACACATTATGTCACAATACTTATGCCTTTTCTCTCTTATTTTACAAGGTTTACATGAAGAGGGGGAATGCCGGCAGCTGGAATTCTGGGCTGGAAAAGGAGAAAATATTAGAGACCTATTCTGCACATCTCCAAAAGTCCTGGAACTCCACGGGAATTATTTTTCGAATATATAAAAAATATTGGGCGAAAGAAGTACCAAAGGGGGGCCACCCGCCGTCCACGAGGGTGGGGGGCGCACCCCCTGCCTCGTGGGCCCCCTGGTGGCCGTCTGATGCCCATCTTTGGCTATATGGAGTCTTTCATCGAGGAAAAAATCATAAGCAAGCTCACTGGATGAAACTCCGCCGCCACGAGGCGGAACCAATCTAGGGCTCCGGCGGAGCTGTTCTGCCGGGGAAACTTCCCTCCGGGAGGGGGAAATCATCACCATCGTCATCACCAATGATCCTCTCATGGGGAGGGGTCAATCTCCATCAACATCTTTACCAACACCATCTCATCCCAAACCCTAGTTCATCTCTTGTATCCAAACCTCAGATTGGTACCTGTGGGTTGCTAGTAGTGTTGATTACTCCTTGTAGTTGATGCTAGTTGGTTTACTTGGTGGAAGATCATATGTTCAGATCCATTATGCATATTAATACTCCTCTGATTATGAACATGAATATGCTTTGTGAGTAGTTATGTTTGTTCCTGAGGACATGGGAGAAGTCTTGCTATAAGTAGTCATGTGAATTTGGTATTCGTTCGATATTTTGATGAGATGCATGTTGTCATCCCTCTAGTGGTGTCATGTGAACGTCGACTACATGACACTTCACCATTGTTTGGGCCTAGAGGGAGGCATTGAGAAGTAATAAGTAGATGATGGGTTGCTAGAGTGACAGAAGCTTAAACCCTAGTTTATGCATTGCTTCGTAAGGGGCTGATTTGGATCCATATGTTTCATGCTATGGTTAAGTTTACCTTAATACTTCTGTTGTAGTTGCAGATGCTTGCAATAGGGGTTAATCATAAGTGTGATGCTTGTCCAAAGAAGGACAGTACCCAAGCACCGATCCACCCACATATTAAATTATCAAAGTACCGAATGCGGATCATATGAGCTGATGAAAACTAGCTTGACGATAATTCCCACGTGTCCTCTGGAGCGCTTTACTTTATATAAGAGTTTGTCCAGGCTTGTCCTTTGCTACAAAAAAGATTGGGTCATCTTGCTGCACCTTAGTTACTTTTATTACTTGTTACTTGTTACAAATTACCTTATCACAAAACTATCTGTTACCGATAATTTCAGTGCTTGAAGAGAATACCTTGTTGAAAACCGCTTATCATTTCCTTCTGCTCCTCATTGGGTTCGACACTCTTACTTATCGAAAAGGCTACGATAGATCCCCTACACTTGTGGGTCATCATAACACTACTATCAGCGTCCGTCTTCCTCTTGAAGATCCATTTATTCTCAATGACTCACCGATTCGGGTAAGGCAATCAAAGTCCATACTTTATTATTACATCTAGGGAATATTTCCTTCAGATGAGGTCTAAACCAACACGATGGCGTGGTGGTGGTGGTGGCAGCGGAACTCTAACAGGGCTTCGCCAAGCGCATACCGGTGAAACGTGGGAGGAGTTGGGAGAGGTAACGGGCAAGGTCGAAGGGGGGCTGCCCCCAATGCCTCCCCACCTTTATATAGGCGTGAAGGGGGCAGCTGGCTTTCCCTCCAAGTCCCTAGGGTCGTTGGTCAAAGGGGGAGGAAGGAAATCCCTCCTTTTCGTCCCCACAGATCGCTATCCCCTTTTTTAGGGATCCTGATCTTTTTCCTTCGGGACATGATACTATTCCTTTTAAGGGACGATCTTGGTGCGCCTAGACCAGGGTTGTGGGGACTTTCCCCACTACCCACGTTCATGTGGGTCCCCCAAAGTAGGTGGGCCCCACTACAGAACCTTCTAGAACCTTCCTGGTATAATACCAAAAAACTCAAACTTTTTCCGAAACCCCGATAATAAATTTTCATATATGAATCTTTACATCCGGACCATTCCAGAGCTCCTCGTGATGTCCCGGATCCCATCCAAGGCTCCGAACAACCTTCGGACTTTCCACTATTAATATCTCAACACGACCCTAGCGCTACCGAAAGTTAAGCGTGCGACCCTACGGGTTCGAGAATCATGCAGACATGACCGAGACTTCTCTCCGGTCATTAACCAATAGCGGGACCTAGATGCCCATATTAATTTCTACATATTTAACGAAGATCTTTATCGGTTGAACCACGATGTCAAGGATTCAGTCAATCCCGTATGCAATTCTCTTTGTCCAGCGATATGTTACTTGCCCGAGATTCGATCGTTGGTATCTCCATACCTAGTTCAATCTCATTACCGGCAAGTCACTTTACTCGTTCCGTAATACAAGATCCCGTGACTAAACTCATTAGGCACATGAGGCTTCTTATGATGTTTTATTACTGAGAGGGCCCAGAGATATCTCTCCATCACACGGAGTGATGAATCCCAGTCTCGATACACACAACACAACAGACACCTTTGAAGATACCTGTAGAGCACCTTTATGATCACCAAGTTACGAAGTGACGTTTGATAGCACACAAGGCATTCCTCCGGTATCCGGGAGTACCATGATCTCATGATCAAAGGAACAGATACTTGACATGAAGAAAGCTATAGCAAATAACTAAACGATCTGATGCTAAGCTTACGGTTGGGTCTGTCCATCACATCATTCTCCTAATGATATGATCCCGTTATCAAATGACAACTCATGTCCATGGTTAGGAAACCTTAACCATCTTTGATCAATGAGCTAGTCTAGTAGAGGCTTACTAGGGACACAGTGTAGTTTATGTATTCACACATGTATTTAAGTTTCCGGTCAATACAATTCTAGCATGAATAATAAACATTTATAATGAACGGGAAATATGATAATAACCATATTATTTTTGCCTCTAGAGCATATTTCCAATAGTTTCCGTAAACGCGGATGAAAATGTAGTCATCATGATTTTGCTTCCAAAACAAAGAAGAGGGTGATTATCATTGATTCGGTTTGGATTTAGATAATTTCCTTTTCCCCTAGAGGTGACCATAGGTTTATCGAACATACAAGAAGGTTTGCCAAAGACAATGTGATGTTGGTGCAATCGAGTGCCCGATTGTTTTGGAGATTGTTGGATAGAAACAGCAAGGGACTAATGTGTTTGCTAATGCACACAGAGAGAGATAGTCCCTGGAGTAAGGAGGAGTATGCTAAAGCAATCGAGGAGATTGTGTGGTGGAAATGACCCCCAAAAATATTGCTGAAGTGAAGCAATTGCTACGCGTGACATTGGAGAGAAAATGGTTGCAGCCAAGAAGAATGAATATGAAGTGAAGAAGTAATTTTCTTTCGTAATTCATTTTCTTTCTTTGAGTCGTAGGGCCATCGTACTATTAAGAGGGGTTTCAAAAAGTTTCGAGACTTATGTTTGGCAATGCTTGACTGAAATATATCCATAGTGTATGGAGAGAAATCTCTACGCGATGACTAATTACTTGTCAGCCAAAGACGAAGTTCTTATGGGCCGTGAGAGAATTGCTCTAACAGTGGAGTCAGCTTTGCTACTTCCTCAAGTTCAGCAGGGTGTGGCCGCTTTTAAATAGTTGTTGTCGATGAGGCTAAGTATCCGGGTGCGTCAATGCGTGGGCGTCGGAGTTAGTTTCTCGGCTGGCGAGCCTGTTTAATGGCGGCATATGAAGGGACTGACGATTGAAAGGGTGTGATAGATATTCGTTCCATCCCGTCCAGTAAACATCTCCTTTATTTGAACAGGCGCGGATACCGAAGATGCGGCACGGACGGTGCCCTCGGCCGGCAAGCCGCTTCAATGCCGGTGCCAGCGTAAGGTCATGTCCGCAGGCAGTTGGCTTCGGGCGGGAAACCGTGCTGGCAAGGGGGAGGGGTTTTGGTGGGTCACAGTTGCCGGACGAGGGTGTGATAGTGGTCCGGACATCCACAAAATCCCCCAGCTTGTTTTCGGTTTGTGGGAAAAAGCACATCTGGATCGGTCGATAGACTGATACAGATCCACGTTGGATAGTAAAACACGTCTGAACCACGTGGTCTAGACGGTTGTGGATGATTTAATAGTCGGCGTTGGAAATGCCATGACAATAAGAGGCTATGGAGCACGGATTGTGAAAAGTAAATTAAGGGTCAGAGAAGAAACGTACCATAGACCATGACTATCTGGATGACAAAAAGTGTCCAAATCGTCTGGTCTGGGCATTTGTGGATGACATGCATTGAAGTCTTACGGTCGTGGCGGGCCACCAGCAGGGCGAAGGGGACCGAGATAACATCCCGAACTGATTCTGGGAACGCTATCCGTTGTGTGAGCTAGTGGCGACCACTCATGGAAGGAGCCATCTCCAGCGGGCCAAATCCGAGGTTGGTTCATGCATGCCTAGCTCTCGATTTTGCCATGTAGCCCTGCTATAGAATCTCCAATCTACTTCCTCCGTTTCAAATTATTCCTCACAGAAATTGATATATCTAAAACTAAAATACATCTAGATACATTCATATCTGTGATAAATAATTTGAAACGAAGGGAGTATCAAGTACCACATGCGTGTATTGCCCTGATCCGCTGTGGTCGTCAGGATTGCCGTCGTCACCGGCGGCAACAAGGGGATCGGCTTCGAGGTGTGCCGGCAACTGGCCAGCCATGGAGTCGCGGTCGTTCTGACGGCCCGGGACGAGCCGAGGGGCGCGGAGGCAGTCGAGAAGCTCAGAGCGCTGGGGCTCGCCCAAGTCATCTTCCATCAGCTGGATGTCACGGACACTTCCAGCATTGCTACACTGTTCGTTTTCCTGAAGACCCGCTTTGGCAAACTAGACATTCTGGTAGGTTTTCCCTTTCATTTTATACTCCAGCTGCTAGCTGCATCAAAGGTTCTAGGCAGATAATAGATGTACTCTGTTAATTTGCAGGTGAACAATGCCGCAATCGGTGGGGTTGAGTACCTCCAAGAACTCCATGCCAACGAGGAAAAGGTAAGGTCACGTTAGGCGAGGTGGCTTTGTTCTGCAATTGCTCGTACACGCCGGACTGAACAAGCTCATATGTCGATGTACGCAACAGTTTGCCGGCATGGATTTCGACCAGATGCTTGAATGGATGGTGAAGAACGTCCGTGAACCCGTCGACAGTGCAAAGAAAGGCGTGCAGACGAACTACTACGGCACGAAGCATGTAACCGAGGCCGTGCTGCCTTTGCTGCAATCTTCCTCCGAGGGAAGAATTGTGAACGTCTCCTCCCTATTTGGGCTGCTAAGGGTAATTATGTTCTTTCGTTGATCATGGCATATTGCCTTCCCTATATCAAACCTAACAAGGGACTTTGAATCTATATATGCAGCTTATCAGCAACGAGGAGGTGAGGCAGGAGCTCAATGACATCGACAACCTGACAGAGGAAAGGCTGGACGAGCTGCTGGACAGGTTCCTCAGGGACTTCGAGGCCGACGCGCTGGAGGCGCGCGGATGGCCCATGGGGTGCTCTGCGTACAAGGTGGCCAAGGCCGCCATGAACGCCTACTCGAGGTTGCTGTCGAGGAGGCACCCCGCGCTGCGCGTCAACTGCGTGCATCCAGGCTACGTCAAGACGGGCATAACCATGAACTCGGGCGTCCTGACGCCCGAGGAGGGCGCGCGTAACGTGGTGAAGGTGGCGCTGGCGCCGGAGGGCGGGCCGACGGGCAAGTTCTTCGCCGAGGACGAGGAGGCATCGTTCGTGTGAGGTACCGTCGGGCTGGCGGTGCGTGCACGGTCTCGTCGCTGGCTGCCGATGAGCTAGCCTGCCTGCCGTCTGACATGGTTAGAGACTGAGAATAACGAACGGGACTTGACATTTCCCGTGATGAATTGTATCTGTGATTGGAAAATTTATAAAACTAATAAGCGTGCACGTGCAACACACATCTCAATCACACCATGTAAATTCGTGCGGGTATAAATTTTTGAATGCGTGCTCTAGGATGACCCATTTTGCATAAAGAAAAAGAGAAGTACAATTGTACAAACCCATCAATTATCTTTTGACGATACCAAGCAGACCACAAAGAAACCATAACTGTATAAAAAATGTCACAAAACAATGGCAACCGACTGGCTGGCTCAGTAAGGGCATAGCCTAATTAGTCTATTGTACAGTAAAATTGGAATCAAATATCCTATGAAGATTTCAGAATGTTTATTTTCTTGGGTGAAAATCAAAGGAACACATAAATATTGTCCAAGTGGTGTCAATGCAAAGTTGAAACAAAGATACCCAAAATATAGCAGTCTTGGCAGAACAGAATTAGTTTTCTTCTTGGATTCGGGCTACTGTTATCATCAGAATTTGAAGGCTCAACAGATGCAGTAAAGCCACACATGGGAGTCATCGTGGGCCCCACCTGCGAGCAGGAAGAGTCGGAATGTCTTTGCCCCATTCTTAGTTTATCTCAACTTCTCATGTAGTGGAACTATAGTTCAGACAGACAATATCTATCGTGTATATAGTTGCAAAACATCTAGAAGCTTGAAGGAGCACAAAGGTTGTGGAGGAGCAACTCCACCTTGCCGCTACAATGTGTACAGCACAAGTGTTGAAGGAACAGTTTCGAAGTGTTGCGCTGGATATCGTTCTAGAGGCGAATGTAGGCGGATATAGCAGCAAGAGTTCAATCCAGAACTCCTAGGGCACAAGATCTACTCCAAGATCTTAGATAAGAACAACAAGTTCTATTATAGGTAGGGGTACTCCCTCCGTTTCTTATTACTCTGCGTCTAAGTTTTTCTCCTTTTTTCCCAACTGCTCTGCGCGTTAGCCTATTTCTCCCCTTCCTTCCAACTTTGCCCCTTCCAACTAGCCAATCCGTTGCATGGCAGAGCAATTAGTGGAGCAGTCCGTGCGCATATATGAACAGGCTAGCTGCATGCAGGGCAGCCGAGGCGCACGGGCCAATCTGCTGCATGCAGTTACTTAAAGCGCGCAAGTTCCCAACATGCAATTAACATTTAGAGGAAGGGTAAGACGGTCCAACAAACAGGCAGCGATACGCTCCTTGGTATGCGGGCTTCAAGTTATGCGCAGAGAAAAGAAAAACGGAGGGAGTACATAGTCTGGTTACAAAGTAGAGGTGAGGATCTCTATTTATATGGCTTTGGGAAGCCTTCACATACTTCTACTTATAGCTAGAATATTCTAGAAACATTATTTAAGGTTCATCATTCTACTCATAGCTACTCACAACTAGAAGACTCTAGAAAATAGTAGGTAGGATAAAGAAAAGAAAAGAAATACTAGACCACAACAGAAGTATCTAGAAGTAGCCAAACAGATTTGACATATGATTATATTTTCATGTTCCTCATCTATTGTTCCTCATCATTCTCTCCTGGTTGTTTGGAACTCGCTGTGACGCCCGAATAATCATGCTACAGTGAACCTCTGCTAATGATGCCATGTCACCTCCGTTACTATTGATAATCGCGTTAGTTCAGAAACCGATTCAAATTCAAAATTTAATTAAAGGCAAACAACAAAAGCTTTCAAACTTAAAAGCTAAAATGTTCAATAAATAGTAGATAAATCAGAGGCTAGGATAAAATTGTAAACAACATTATTGAAATATGATAAGTCATTTAAACAATCTCAAACAGTGTCTGAATACATTATTTAATAACCTTTAATTAATCTAAATCTAATATGAAATAGTATTTCACCCAAACTAGTTTTCGGTGTTAGGATCTAATGCACTACAAATTATGAGCTAGCTCCCATATTTTATAAAAATCGATTAGGTGCTAAACATTTTTGAAAAAAAATAGAAAAAGGAAAACAAAGAAAATAAAAAAACAAAAACAAAACAAAACAAATGGGGGGAAGGGGGCAGACCCCTCCTGGGCTGCTTGGCCCACTTTCCCCACCGGCACATGCCGGCCCGCCCCCACTCTCCCTTATCCTCCCCGTCCCCAAACCCTAGCCCCACCCAGACCGCACACTCACCCCCATGTCGCCCACTCCCCTTCCCCGATCCAGATCGGATTGGGGCTCGCCGCGCCAGGACGCCGCCGCCCGGATCGCCGTCGCCGTCTATCACCGCCTCGCCCCCGCCACTCGACGCACTCGCCGGAGCTGCCCCGCCGGCCTGCCTCCTCTTCGCCACGCGTCACCGTCAACCCCATCCCCGCTGCCCAAACCCTACACTCCCGGTGAGGCCCCCGGCCTCCTCTCTCTTCCTTGCCCCGCGATCGCCCCGACCCCGTCGCGCCCACGTCCGTGCCTTCATGCGCGCGTGCCCGATCCACACTCGCTGCGCCGCTCGGGACTGCGCCCGCGGCCACCCCTCGTTGGCCACCGCGACCCCCTGCCTCTGCTCGCGCGCGTGCGCGCTTAGCCGTGCTCTGCCGCCCGCACCGGCGCCTCGCTGGCGCCCAGCACCCGTGGCGACCACGCCCTCCCTCCCGCGTGGCCGCCTACTCTCCGTCCCACGCGCCCACTGCCACGCGCCCGCGCCACCAACCCCCACCATCGTGCGCCGCTGGTCTGTCCATGCCGTCCCGCTCCTCGTGCCCACCGCCGCGGCACCCACTCGCCTTGCTTCACTCCGCCCTGCTGCCCTCTTCCCCGCTGCTGCCTGTCTCGTCTCTCCCTTGCAAGCACCGCCGCTCCCCGTTGTTGCTTCTTGCTCGCCACCCCGCCTCCATCGCGAGCCGTCGTGGCCGCCCTGCTACTCCGGTCTCTGCCACTGCATCGCTCGTCGCCGGCCCCGCGCTGCTCCACCACCGCAGCGCCCGCTGCTGCATCGATGGCCGTTCGGGCTGGGCACCAACGCCCCTGCGCCCGCACGCCAGCAAGCCCGCGCGTCCGCTTAGGCCCCAGGGGCCACAGACAGCTGGGCCCGCCCCTGTACCTATGACAAACGGGGCCCACACCCCAGAACGGATTAAAAAAAGAATTAAAAATATATATAATAATTAATTAATAATAAAAATAATTAATTAATTAACTAAATAATAACTTAATTAGTCCTATTTAGTTAAACTAATTAAGCTTGATTAACCTAAATATCTAATTAACCTAACTAATCTGTTAGTTAGGGTGATGTGTCAATGACAGACGGGACCCACCCGTCAGTTTGATCGGTCAACGGTCAGCGTTGACCGATGACGTCATGCTGACATCATGCTGACGTCATAATTGTATTTTCTATATTAATTAATTCTGTTAATCCTAAAAATGACTTAAATCTTTAAAAATTAATATAAAATAATCCGTAGCCCGGATGGGAAAACTTTGTACATGAAAGTTCCTCAGAACGACAAGACAAATCCGGATACGCAGCCCGTTCGTCCGCCACACATCCCTAACATATCGAACTCGCAACTTTTCCCCTCCGATTCATCTGTCCGGAAACGCGAAACACTGGGGATATTTTCCCGGATGTTTCCCCCCTTCACCGGTATCACCTCATACCGCGTTAGAACACGTCTAGCTCTGCCTGTTGTCCTGTTATACACTTGCTTGCTATGTATTTACTGTTTCTCCCCCTCTTCTCTCCGGTAGACCCCGAGACCGACGCTGATGCCACCGAGTACGACTATGTCACCGACGACCCTTCTCCTTGTACAACAGAGCTTCCATGCAAGCCCCCCCTTGATCACCAGATATCGCTTATTCTTCTCTATACTGCTTGCATTAGAGTAGTGTGGCATGTTACTGCTTTCGGTTAATCCTATTCTGATGCATAGCCTGTCATTGTTGCTACAGTTGTTACCCTTACCTGCTATCCTACTGCTTAGTATATGATGCTAGTGTTCCATCAGTGGCCCTACATTCTTGTCCGTCTGCCATACTATACTATCGGGCCGTGATCACTAGGGAGATGATCACGGGTATATACTATATACTTTATATACATGACACATGTGGTGACTAAAGTCGGGTCAGCTCATTGAGTACCCGCAAGTGATTCTGATGAGGGGGCTGAAAGGACAGGTGGCTCCATCCCGGTAGAGGTGGGCCTGGGTTCCCGACGGCCCCCGACTGTTACTTTGTGGCGGAGCGACAGGGCAGGTTGAGACCACCTAGGAGAGAGGTGGGCCTGGCCCTGGTCGGAGTTCGCGGATACTTAACACGTTTAACGAGATCTTGGTATTTGATCTGAGTCTGGCCACTGGCCTATACGCACTAACCATCTACGCGGGGACAGTTATGGGCACTCGACGTCATGGTATCAGCCGAAGCCTTCGTGATGTCAGCGACTGAGCGGCGTGCGCCGGATTGGACTGGAACGCCTGCTAGGCTAGGTCTGCTTCCGGCCGCCCTCGCAACATGCAGGTGTGCAATGGGCGATGGGCCCAGACCCCTGCGCCATAGGTGTCGGAGTAAATAACCATCGGTAGCCTAGCCGGCTCCCCCTGGCCCTTCTGAAAAAATTACGAGCCGATCCGGCCCTCAAGAATCCAAGACATGGGGCCGCCTTCCGCTTGCCGGCTGTCCCCCAGGCCGGCTATCGGAAGGCGACCCGACTTTAGCCCTCATAAAGAAAGCCGCGGGAGGGCCGGCTCCGAGAAGCCGGCCGCGAGAAGGCCGACTCCAAGAAGCTGGCTTCCACAAAGCGGTCAAGATCGTACCCTCGAAGTCTGTGTCCACATAGCGGCGATGTGACGGGGCATGGCTACGGTAAAGCCTGCCACCCCCGAATCCCGGAGCACGCCTGGCACAGTGCGCCGTACGGGTGGCCATGACCC